TAGTCCTCTTTTCAATTTGTAGATTCAAACTCTATATCTAATGGAGCTATTATATTGTCTCGTTACAATATTTCATCAAATTTATATTACTATGGCACAATCAGGGTCTATTATAATGGATGGGGTAATATTTGTGATGATGCTTATTATAAGTCAGCTGCAGCTGATGTCATTTGTCATCAGTTGGGATACACTGGAGCTTCAAGCTACTCTAGAGCTGGTAGTGTCAGGTGTGTTTTAATTTGTGGTAGCAATAATTATGGTCACTGTTTTGTAGTTATGGTACAGACTATCTTTCAATAAAATGGGATGAGGTTAACTGTGTCAGTAGCAGCTATTTATCTATTGCTCAATGTACCTACTCTACTATCATTGACAGTGATTGTGGTGCTAGTAACAGTTATGATGCCACTGTATTCTGCTGTAAGTTGTTCAGTATATTTGTGCATGTTTTATGTATTAATTAATACAGATACCACTAGGATATGGAACAGCAACCCATATGCTGGTATGGTACGTCTTCAGGGTGGATATTATTCTAATGAAGGACGTGTTGAGGTTTATTGTAATGGACAGTGGGGGACAATATGCAGCATTGGATTTAGTGCAAGTGATGCTAATACTATTTGTAGGCAGCTTGGATATGACTCTGGTTTAAGAAAATATGATTCAATGTAAACAATGATCTATATGTACTTAAATATTGTTAAAATTTAATTTTTACAGATATGGCAATACAAGTCAGCCAATCTGGAGTACTAACATGTATAGTACATCAGGTGATACATGTTTTGGTTCAAGTAACACTTGTCCTTCAAGCTCTATTGCTAATTGCTCTTACTACACTGATAGCTTAGTTACATGCAGTTAGTTGTATGTGTACATGTTATAAATTAATTTACATTTCATAGGAGAGACATTTTCTTCAAAAAGGTATTCTACAACATCAAAAACTTGTTCTAGATTAATAAGTGAGTTATTACACTCACACAAACCGTAGGTGTAAAGGCGAAGGTACTGCAACCATCCTGTCAGTGTGTATGTGTGTGTGTGTTTTTTTCATCTTCTGCTATCTTTTCAAACCCTTGCTGCAGGTCCTGAGGAGTCCCACTGTCAACTAAAACGCTTTTTAAAAGTTGTTTTTTGTCAGTTTACTCCTTTACCTGTCTTCTCAGAAGTAGCATAAGTCAACAATGTTGATAAATAATGATAATGTTGTCTGATTTATAAGCAGCACATTCATGACAAAAATAATAAGCCATTAGAACACATCAAACAATAGATTGAAAGTTTTTTAATGAAATTTGTCTTAAATTCTTAATTTCTGAGATGTGATAGTTTAAAAATCACTTACAGCATCAACTTACTTGAAGTACTGCTCTCCAGACAAAGCAGTTAGAATCTTGTAAACTGTAGATGCTTACAAACAAGTTTGTATGCAACAAATGGAGGTGTCATAAACTGCAGAAAAATTGAGAAAAATGAAGCTTTTTTTATCAGTAACTGCAGCCTAGCCTTACTATCTAGTAGGCGGTGCTTAATTTGAGCCTAACCGGTAACATAGATATTAGAGTTAAAAGGAAATTTAATTTAGTTAAATTTGCAGTATGGTTCATACAAAGGTATCAAGGGAAAGATAAGGTCTTGAACTCTGCAAATGAGCTATAATAAGGAAGGAAGGTTTTAAAATCAAGTGTGTTTTTACTGATGACAAACTGCTGCAATACACCTCCATTCTGT